GAAGAAGAAAAATGTTGACTTCCCCTCCAATTTTGATGAGGTGTTAGCTTAGCTCATTAAGCCCAGCAATTACGGGGAGGTCGGTGCCACAAAATCGGACGAGCTTTCGATTAGTTGCTTTGCATGGAAACCAAGGTACTAGGAGGAGTCTCTACTTTGGTCTCCTTCTCCATTTACCCTTTCCCCCATAATTGTTCTCTCTTCTTGTCATTTAGCCGAGTTTAGTGGCTTCCTGCTTCCCTTCCCCTTCCCAATTTCTTTATTATTCCCAATTCCCGCCCACATTTTGAAGCTCCTGATTTGATCTCCTGGCATAATCCCATTGGTTGTTTGATTCTGAATATATGGTTCCTAGTACTTGCCCATGTTTGTTGAGTTTTTTAATGCTTCCCACAGTTGGAAGTTTCCATTTTTATAATGTGGTAATGGGAGGAGAACTCGGGCCGTGAACTCTGGGAATTTTATAGGGATTGGTGTTTGCTGTTATAAGGAGAGTTTGCTAATTGTTAAGCTTTTTTCCTTCTCTAATTTGGTTTTTGACATTGAGGGAGGCCATTTTATTGTTTGTTTTCAGGTTGTGGAGAAGTGCTAATCTCTCAGGAAGTAGGAAGTGATCAAATGTCGTTAGGAGAGGGATTTGGGTTTGAGATTTGGATGAGTGAGCCTCAGAGTGTTGAGAAAAGGCGCCAAAATTTCATGTCCCAAATGGGTCTTTCAAATGATGTGAGTAGCTCTTCAATGAGAAGCAATGGCGGTGAGGAAGAAATTGTTGGGTTGGAGTTGTTGGAGAGGGTTTATGAGAGCAGTAATGCTGAATGTTCGTCGAGTTCTTGCACTGATGGAGATGGGATAAGTGGTTTGGTTTGTTTTGGGAGGGAGAGTTGTTCTGAAGCTAATTCCATGGCTGATGATGATTTGGAAGAAGAGGAGGAGTTTGTGGGAAGGAAACCAGGTAGTGGGAGCGAGAGCTCGGAAGGTGAGGTTTCGACATCTCAGAAAGGGAATGTCGAGAAGATGAAGAGACGGTGGAGCTGGAAGCAGTTTGTGAACAACAAGATGAGGGATGATCAAGAGGTTATTAGTAGTGACTTGGTTTCCAAGGCAAGCAGCAGATTGGCCAAAGTGAAGTGCAACAAGAAGAAGTACATGGAGCTCAGTGGGTTGTTTGTAGAGCAAGAAATCCAAGCTCACAAGGGATTCATTTGGACAATGAAGTTCAGCCCTGATGGCAAGTACTTGGCAACTGGCGGTGAAGATGGCATCATTCGAATTTGGCAAGTTGGAACAACTCCTGCTGATTCCAAGCTTCCCGGGGTTGGTTTGAAGAAGGGTGGCGGCCAGCTTCATCATCAACCTTCCATTGTGATTCCTGAGATGGTTTTCAGGATTGAAGAGTCACCGGTGCACGAGTTTCGTGGCCATTCGAGTGATGTTCTTGACTTGGCATGGTCAAGCTCGAATGTAAGACAATTGAAAACTTAAAAGCTTTCAAATTTTCATTTACCGAAGTAGGAAATTCACCTTGGTTGACTGAATCTTGACATGTTTTCCTTTTCTGGTTTGTTTTGCAGTTGTTGCTGTCCTCTTCAAAGGACAATACTGTTAGATTGTGGCAAGTTGGCTGCAACGACTGCCTCAATGTTTTCCACCACCGTAACTATGGTGAGTTCATGAGGAACATAAGACTAATTAGCATTAGCTTTAACTATACCATACAATTCATTTACCATATTTGGTATGATTTTGAAAACAGTGACATGTATCCAATTCAATCCTGTGAATGAGAACTACTTCATCAGCGGATCAATCGATGGGAAAGTTCGAATATGGGGGGTGCACGAGGCACGAGTCATCGAGTGGGCTGATGTTCGAGACGCCATATCTTCCATATGTTACAAACCAGATGGCAAGGGATTTGTAGTTGGCACGATTCGAGGCAGATGCCGCTTCTATGAAGTATCAGGTACATATATAACCCTTTTCTGCAATAGAGCTCCATTGTCAAGTCTGTTCTTGGGTTGATGCACTTTTTTGGTCCCTGGAATTCGAAACGATTACAAAGAAGTCCTTCGTTATATTCCATTAAAAGTTGGTTCCTTTCTTGTTGGAGATTATCTCTCTAACTGAGTTTCAACAAATGCAGCCAATGATCTGCAACTAGAGGCAGAGATTCGTATACAAGGAAGAAAGAGAACATCCGGCAATAGAATCACAGGCATTCAGGTCTGTTCAAACTTAAACTCCAAGCTCTCTTCAGTGCTGCAGAAAGCCATAAACATCACAAATCTAAACCAGATTTATCTTTCCATATTCTGCAGTTTTCCCAGGACAAAGCTCCAAAAGTTATGATCACTTCTGAAGATTCCAAAGTCAGAATTTTCGATGGCTTTGACCTCATCCACAAGTTTAAAGGTAAAAAAACTCACTTAAACCTTCCCTCTCAGTAACTATATATTAAACTTTCCACATCCAATGCATACATCCAACTGAAACTTTCTACAGCTGTATTTATTGGAGAACACATACCGATGAGTCATATAGTTCTGAATCTGATGCATGAACCCTAACCAATATTTACTAATTTAGCAGTCTGCATGCAAAGACACAATCTTTTTCCCAATGGGATTGATAATCTAATCTCACCATACAGTTAAACTAACTATGCACCTTGAATCTCGTTCCAATGTACTCAGATTAGCTGATGTGGCATCTGGGTGGTCACTGATCAGTCATTAGACTAAAATACTGATTAATCTATGTTATCTAATGACAGGGCTCCCAAGATCAGGGAACCAGATGTCGGCTTCCTTCACATCAACAGGGAAACACATAATCTCGGTTGGAGATGACTGTCAAGTCTATGTCTGGAACTACAACGACCAAGGCAGCTTCTATGGCGGTGGTGGTAGCCCTGTCCACTCCAAACACATCAAATCCGAACAGTCCTTCGAGCATTTCTCCTCGCAAGGTGTCTCTGTTGCGGTGCCTTGGCCCGGAAGCAACAAGAGCAGTGGTGGTGAAGTTGGTGATAGTGGGAGTCAAGGAAGGTTCCTTGGCCAGAAAGGCACCGGCCATGGTGGTGGTAGGAGGGCTTCCAAAGACATGGATAGGTTTTCGCTTGCAAATTGGCGCAACTTCATGGAGGGTGGACGTCGGGGGAACTCGTCGTCTGCTGCCACGTGGCCCGAGGAGAGGCTTCCCGGTTGGGACGATGGTGCGGTGGATCGGAAACCGAAGTGGTTCGATGCGCCGGCGACTTGGGGGATGGTGATTGTGACCGGAAGTTGGGATGGAAAGATTTCCACTTTCAATAACTATGGCTTGCCGATGATCCTGTGAGACAATGCTATGACTTGAGTTGGAAGCAAGGGAGAAAAACAACTTGTAGATGTTGAAGATAGAAGAGTGTAAAGATTTAGCTCTAGATGAAAATTAGGCTTAGTGTTCATTTTTCCTTAGAGAAAATCGTGGTTGATGTGAATAATTTAACTTAGTCGAAGCACGATTAAAGAAAGTGCATTAGGTTTAGTGTTCCTTTTTCTTTAGAGAAAATCGTGGTTGATGTGAATAATTTAACTTAGTCGAAACACGATTAAAAGAAAGTGCAAAGGAAAATATATACTAATTCTATCGTTTGAAAGTTGTGCGTTGCTCATTCAAAAGATATAGTACGATGAAAATATGAAACGATTTCTTCAATGGCCTTTCTTTCTATTGCGATTATAAGTTTATCATAAAAATATTTTATTTGATCGCACCGGACCAAATTGATGTATGGATTAGAACATACCAAACAGAATACAATACGATTCAGTCCTTCGTCTAATGAATTTTATAAATAATAAAAATAAATTGATCAAAATGACATTTGAAACAGACCAAACCACACCAAATTGAAGCAAATAAAAAACTGATATGATTCTAAGATATCTTTCACTATTAAACCATAATTTTCAATAGTAGTTTTCCTTTTACCCAATTTTGTTTTTAATTTCCAGAATTAGCTCACTTTCTTCTCGTTGTAATCACATCAATGGTGTTGTGCTTTCAGTGAATTCCGACTATGTCTCATGGAAGACTTTAATCTCTCCGATCGGTTAGAGATTTTTAGCACCATGGTGGTGCCTTTGTAGTTTGGTCTCTTTGCAGGTAAATTTTAGTGTTGTGAAAGTATGGTCGTGCACCTCCTCGTTTTGTGACGGATAGCAAGTCTTGAGTTCATTTGTTAAATGATTTATTTAATCATGTCAAAGAATCTTCAAGGATATGCAACTGGCTCGGTCGGCTTCTTAGGTGATGGAATTATTTCATTTTATTTTATTTCAGCAAATACTATTACGATATTACTAACACAACTATTTGCTCTTAGTGAGAGTGTGTGATGGTATCTTACTCATAAATGTATTAATTGTTACATATTGCTGGGTTTCTCAACTGGGCAACATGGATCGTGCATCGAGGAAGCCTTCCCAGTGCAGGAGCCACTTACAAGGAAGTTTTCTCTCTCTCTTCCTGCCTTTCGTGTCTTTTCGCTCCTTGGAGCTTTTTCAGAGCTGCCCATCTTGTAGCATTACAAGCTTTTTTATCGGGAATCCGATTGCATAAGAATTACCGTTCTTTATCATTATATGTTTCTTATATTGTTGTCCGGACATGCCCTAGGACTTAAAGCACGCAATTTTCATGACTTCGAACCCGACGGTTTCACACCACTATACACCAGTACCCTGAAGAGTGAAGAGCAGCAAATTCATCCCTGCTTTGGTTATTGGGTCGATCAGCTTAGGTTTTGAGGTCCGAGTAACGCAATCCACAATCAGGTAGGCCCACTGAAAAGCCCGTTACGAGCCCAAAGTCACAAGACTATGCATATTTGGGCCGTCAATGAATAAAAAAAATTAAATAAAAAAGATAATTCCTTCTTTTCTCCTTCGGTCATCATCTGTCACTGGATCCATCGGTTTACTTCTCCTCCAGCTTCCCCCAAAACCCTCAAATCAATGGCGTCTTCCTACACGATTTGGGCACTAATCCTCGCCAGTCTCTTCTCCGTCAACACCGCCTCCACTCTCCCCGGCGACGATACGGGAGGCGGCAACAGCAGCAGCCTCTCCGCCTACCAGGTCCTGCAGCAGTACGACTTCCCAGTCGGGATCCTGCCCAAGGGAGTCACCGGATACAAGATCGACCGCGAAACCGGGAAGTTCGAGCTCTACCTGCCGGCGACCTGCAAGTTCAAGATCGATTCGTACGAGCTGGAGTACGGGACGACGGTCAGCGGCGTGGTGACCACGGGGAAGATCAGCAATCTGGAAGGCGTGAAGGTGCACATCTTGTTCATCTGGCTCAACATCGTCGAGGTCGTTCACTCCGGCGACCAGATGCAGTTCTCTGTTGGAATCGCCTCCGCTGGGTTCCCCCTCGATGGGTTTTACGAGAGCCCCCAGTGCGGATGTGGGTTCGATTGCGACGGGTTGGAGGAGGAGGATCTGTTGGTGGGCTCTGCTGTTTCCTCGATCTGATTCTGTAACGAGGTGAGTCAGTAGTATTAATTAGATATATGAATGACGATTCCAATAATGAGGTGAGGAGAGGTAGTCGGCTAGTGGGTTCGATTTAATGATTAGATATGAATGAATGGCATTTGTAAAAGGGATCGAAAAGGGTAAATTTGGTTTCCTGTTTATCGGAACCAATGGCTGAGCTTTTTTGCTTAAGCCAGCTGAAAACTCTGTTTTTCATGAACCAGTCCTTTCCCCTGTAGTTATTAGGATCGATGGGGGAGATTAAAGCAAGAACAAGGTTATTCAGCTTCGTTTAAGCTTTTACCCAGGCATGGATTGAAGTTGCAATACTGTTCTCTGTGATTGATTGATTGATTGAGCAGAAGGTGGATTGTGGTAGTCTTTCGCCTGGTTTTGTCAGAATTGTCTTTAGCGATCTGCTTACTGGCTTTAGTAAAAATCAGGAGGTATTCTCCTTTGTTGAGACCCACCTGATAATTTCAAGTATCTGGTGGTGTCGTCTGTTGTACTATGTACATGTACACACAACTAGGGCGGCAAATGAGCCGAATTTCGAACGAATTTTTCTCGAGTCGAACGCCGAGCCGCTCGCGAGCAGCTCGGCTCATTTGAAGCCCTACACACAACTCCTAGCAGATCCTCCAAGTTCTTTGCTTACATTGGAGAATCTCGGAAATCAACTGGTAGCGTTTCGAGCATTACTCAGCTAGTCACAACCTCCTCATCCGAAACGTCTCGAGTTTTCTATTTTTAGTGTTGTTCGTCGTCCGTCGTGCTTGCGCGCGCTCTGTTGTGTTTTGTGGTTTGTTTTCTGGAGGTAGGCCGATGGTAGCGTGCAAGTTAGTTGACACAAAATCTACGTGTGCAAGTATACCTCCGATCCTTTTCCTCGTAGATATAATGCTAGTTGCTCGAGATGACCTGCTCGTCGTCCTGGTGCCCAATCTTCGTATCCAGTGTTTAGTTTCCGGGAGGAGACTCTGATTTCGTTGGGTCGTCCATCAGCTTTACTCGTGAACTCGGAGACTAACAATGTGCTCCTCGGAGCTTGTTTTTCGTATTAACTCGATCAACCCTGGTCTTAAGGATTAGAGTTTAGTGTGGTTCCTCGAACTGTGGGCTGAGGCAGTGGGTTCTGCAGACTGCAATCATAATGTGGGCTGAATAAGGTTGGAGAGGATTTGGTAAGAAGGAAGCTGCTTTGCATTCTGCTTGTGTCAAGTCAACTGTCAACCCCACTCCACCACTCACCAACCTTTTAGAAAATTAGATCAATAATTAAAATTAAAAAAAGATTAGGAGGGGGATTACTTGTCACTGTCTCACAAAACCTCACCAACCCTCAACAACTGATCCTTCAATAAAACCCCAAAAGCCCATTTGCAGCCCAATTGCGCGTGTCCAACAACGGCCCAACCTCTCCCTACGCCGTCGTTTTGCTCTCTCACAGTCTCCCGGGCATTCTGCTGAAAATCCATTCCCACCAACTCCCAGAGCTTTTTCTTTTCCTTCCATATATTAAAAGCACTCAAAATCCGCCATTTCCAATTCCCTCCTCCACCTTCAAAAATCGAATCCGAGAATCTCCCGCCGCCGCCATGGCGCTCAGCCTGATCCTAATCGTCGTCTCCCTCCTCGCCTCCCTCCCCTTACTCTACTCCCTGCTCTACCGTCTCCGATTCAAGCTGCCCCCAGGCCCCCGCCCGCTCCCCGTCGTCGGCAACCTCTACGACATCAAACCCGTCCGGTTCCGCTGCTTCGCCGAGTGGGCGGACCGGTACGGCCCGGTCATCTCCGTCTGGTTCGGCTCCACCCTCAACGTCGTCGTCTCCAGCACCGCGCTCGCCAAGGAGGTGCTGAAAGAGCACGACCAGCAGCTAGCGGATCGGCACCGGAGCAGGTCGGCGGCGAAGTTCAGCCGCGATGGGCAGGACCTGATCTGGGCCGACTACGGCCCACACTACGTGAAGGTGAGGAAGGTGTGTACCCTGGAGCTTTTCACCCCAAAGAGATTGGAAGGGCTGAGGCCGATTCGGGAGGATGAGGTCACCGCCATGGTTGAGTCCGTTTACCGCGACTGCTCCGATTCCGGTTCGTTAATCCTTAATCCTTACTTTCTTCAATTAGTAATTAGGGACGAGAATTGAATTGAATATAATTGCTCTCCTGTTTATGTGTTAGTTAGGGTTAGGTGGATTGTGGAATCTTATCCTGTGTGTTTGATTAGAGATCAAGCCAATCTGGTTGCTTTATCACGACGAATTCGAACCTTTGAATCGATCTCTAGACCATTTTTTCAATGTTGAGGCAGTGGAGAGTGAAAGAATTGGAATTTGCCGTTTCCTTATTTGGGTGGTTCCTAATTTTGGCAGAGAAGAGCTTGCAAGTGAAGAAGTACTTGGGTGCGGTGGCGTTCAACAACATAACCCGGCTGGCATTCGGGAAGAGGTTCGTGGACTCGGAGGGCGTGATGGACGCGCAAGGGCTCGAGTTCAAGGCGATCGTCTCGAACGGGCTCAAGCTGGGAGCGTCCCTTTCCATGGCGGAGCACATCGAGTGGCTGCGATGGATGTTCCCCTTGGAGGAAGGTGCGTTCGCTCAGCACGGTGCACGTAGGGATCGACTAACTCAGGCCATCATGGAGGAGCACACCGAGGCTCGCAAGAAGAGTGGGGATACGAAGCAGCATTTCGTCGATGCGTTGCTCACGTTGAAGGAGAAGTACGACCTCAGCGAGGACACCATCATCGGACTTCTCTGGGTACAGTTTTTTTCTCTTGCTGAATCCAAGCTTCCTTCACTTCACACTAACTAAAATATTGATGTTTGGATTAGCTAAATGATAGTTATTTTGATTATCTTCGTCAAGTTTGGTTTTTCCCCCTCGAAGAAACTGTCAATTGGATTGTTTGATTAGCTCCTCTGGTAGGGTAATGGAGGGCATAGAACCATAGACCATGTTATTGAAGCTTTTGAAACGTTGCAGGACATGATCACGGCAGGGATGGACACGACAGCGATCTCGTCTGAATGGGCGATGGCAGAGATCATCAAGCACCCGAGGGTCCAGCAGAAGCTGCACGAAGAGATGGACCGGGTCATCGGATTCGAACGAGTAATGATCGAGTCCGACTTCTCGAGCCTGCACTACCTCCAATGCGTCGTCAAGGAGTCACTCAGGCTGCACCCTCCGACCCCTCTAATGCTCCCCCACCGGTCCAACGCCAACGTCAAGATCAGCGGCTACGATGTCCCCAAGGGATCGAACGTCCACGTCAACGTGTGGGCGGTGGCTCGTGATCCGGCGGTGTGGAAGGATCCGTTGGAGTTCAGGCCGGAGAGGTTCATGGAAGAGGACGTGGACATGAAGGGACACGATTTCCGGCTGCTGCCCTTTGGCGCCGGGAGGCGGGTTTGCCCCGGGGCGCAGCTGGGGATCAACTTGGTGACTTCGATGTTGGGTCATTTGTTGCACCATTTCCAGTGGAGTCCGCCGGAAGGGGTTAAGCCGGAGGAGATCGACATGTCGGAGAATCCCGGGTTGGTGACTTACATGCGGACGCCGGTGATGGCGACGGCTACTCCGCGGCTGCCTTCTCACTTGTACAAGCGTGTGGCTGCGGAGATGTAAAAGAAAAGCCGGTTAGGAAATGTTTGTTGTACATTTTTATTGTACTCTGACTGAAAGGCGAGGATTCCAAAAACTTTGAAGATGGTTTTTTCTTCTGTACTTGCTTGTATCATTTACAAACTTCTGGCATAAATTTGAAGAACCCAATTTTAGTTTTGGGTTTTTTTTTTTTTTGTGGGTATTTGATATGAAAAGATTAATTCTTAGTATGGTTGAATGTGTTTGTATGTGGAAGGATGAAAACGAATTATGAACTTCCGGTGGATGACACAATTCTTTCACTCTCTTTTCCCCAACTTACACTTCCATTTTGAAAATGTTCGTTGGGTGTTTTTGAATTTGGGTTCAATAGTAAATGACTAAATGCATACCTAACCTACCAACCTAATCACAACTCACTTTTTATTTATTTATTCATGAATAATTGTTTTTTTTTACAAGCTACCAAAGATGACGGCCGAAATGTAAAGTTTATTCTGAAATTGAAACATGAAATCTAATAACCAGTTATGTAAAACCGCTAGATCAAGTCTTATTTTGCAATAGTTACTATCAACTCAAATGCTTAGCTTTACTAACTCATCTTCACTCAAGATATGGAGAAAGTAGAAATTCATTTAAGATGAAATCTTTGGCGCTATTTGTTTGACACGACATAAAAAAAATTTGTGGGTGTTAACGAAGTCTGATGAAAACTGACAGCTGGTGACTAACAATGAAATGATTTGTCAAGTCAGTGACTAATAAAAAATAAAAGTAATTCAAAGAGTAAACATAAAAAAAATTATGTAATTTAAGTATCCAAATATATAATTTAGCCTTTTGATTTTCTCATAAAAGTCGAATTTTTTTCCTGCCAATTCACTCCATATTGGATGTCAAAATGGGCTGAACTAATACCCCTAGCAAAACTACTTCTTCGCCGGCCCATGAGAGCTGGTTCTAGCATGATGTTTGGGTTTCTAAGATCTGGCATCTTTCAGCGGGAGGGCCCAAGGACCATTGCAAACTAAGCCTTACACTTGAGCCCATATTTCGGATGAAAGTGGCTGAATTACACCATTTGTCACTCCGTTTATAAATTTTTTCTTCCATACAGCCCTTTCACCGATTATTACAGGTCGTCCATTTTTTTCAGTTTCCATTAACATCGTCATTTTTCTATGATATGGAAGATGAGTGTGCCGAATTAGCTAACAAATTGCCGAGCCACCTAAATTAAACGTAAACTAAAATACACTCAAATCGTATAAAAAGCGAAACTCACTTAATCAACTTAAAAACTCATTTAAGAGAATGATATAAACATTTCCTCAGTCACTAGTGATGTCAACTCCATAAAACGAAATCTTTGACAAAAATATAT